GATGCACATGAGGTGATTGAAAATACCATGGCTTGGTTTAGGTGCATCTTGGTCTTCAAAGAGACATCATTGCTCTTCAGCACTTTAAACAGGTCTTTTGCAGCAGATTTGCCCAGTGCAATATGTCATCTGATTTCTTGACTACTGCTTCCATTGGTGTTGATTACAGAACCTAGTAATATGAAATCTTTGACACTGTCAATCTTTTCTCCATTTATCATGATGCTGCTTACTGGTCCAGTTGTGAGGGTTTTAATTTTCTTTATGTTGAGGTGTAATCCATACTTTAGACTGTGGTCATCAGCAAGTGCTTCAAGTCATCCTCACTTTCAGCAAGCAGGGTTGTGTCATTTACATACTGCAGGTTGCTAGTGAGTTCTCCTCCAATCCTGATGCCATGTTCTTCATATAGTCTAGCTTCTCAGATTATTTGCTCAGTATACAGATTGAATAAGTTTGGTGATACAACCCTGATGTACTCACTTCCTGATTTTAAGCCATGCAGTATCCCCTTGGTCTGTTTGCATGATACCTTCCTGGTCTATGTACAGGTTCCTCATGAGCACAATTAAGTGTTCTGGAATTCCCATTCTCCTCAACATTCTTAAATGTTATCCATAATTTGTTATGATCCACACAGTTGAATGCTTTTGCATAGTCAAGTAAGCATCTTTCTAGTATTCTTTGCCTTCAGCCAAGATCCATCTGACATCAGCAATGATGTCCCTCATTCCATGTCCTCTTCCGAATCCAGCTTGCACTTCTGGAAGTTCCCTGTGAACATACTGCTCCAACGGTTTTAAACCATTTTCAGCAAGGTTTTACCTGCGTGTGATATTAATAGGAGCTCTGGTGGCATAGTGCCTAAGGCATTTGACTGCTAACCAGAAGGCTGGCATTTCAAATCCACCAGCCACTCCTTGGAAGGAAGACTGGGCAATCTACTTCCATAGAGATACAGCCTCAGAAACCCAAGGAGGGGCTGCAATGAGTTGGAACTGCCTCGATGGCAGTGAGTTTTTTTGGTTTGGTGATATTAATGATATTGTTTGATAATTTCCACATTCTGTTGGATCACCTTTCTTTAGAATGGGCATAAATATGGATCTCTTCCAGTCAGCTGGCCAGGTAGCTGTCTTCCAAATTTTGGGGCATAGATGAGTAAGTGCCTCCAGCTTGGCATCCATTTGTTGTAACATCTCAGTGAGTAGTCTGTCAATTCCTGGAGCCTTGTTTTTCACCAGTTCCTTTGGTGCAGCTTCAACTTCTTCCTTCAATGCCATTGGTTCTTGATCATATGCCACCTCCTAAAATGGATGAACAGCAACCAATTCTTTTTGGTACAGTGACTGTATTCCTTCCATCTTCTTTTGATATTTCCTGCATCATTCAATATTCTGTCCATAGAATCTTTCAATGTTGCAACTTGAGGCTTGAAATTTTTCTTCAGGTCTTTCAGCTTGAGAAATACTGAGTTTGTTCTTCCCTTTTGATTTTCTAACTCCAGGTCTTTGCCCATTTCATTCTAATAAATGACATTTGTCTTCTTGAGCTGCTCTTTGAAATCTTCTGTTCAGCTCTTTTATCTTGTCATTTCTTCCATTTGCTTTAGCTACTCTCCATTCAAGAGCAAGTTTCAGAGTCTCTTCTGACACTCGTTTTGGTCTGTTCTTCCTTTCCTGTCTTTTAAATAACCTTTTGCTTTCCTCATGTATGATATTCTTGATGTCATCACACAATTCATCTGGTTTTCAGTCACTGGTGTTTAATGCATCAAATCTGTTCTTTAGATGGTCTCTAAATTCAGGAGGGATATAATCAAGGTCATATTTTGGCTCTCATGGACTTGTTTTAATTGTCTTCAGCTTCAACTTTAACTTGCTTATGAGCAGTTGATGGTCTGTTTCAGTCAGCTCCTGGCCTTGCTTTGGCTGAAGATACTGAACTTCTTCATCACCTCTTTCCACAGATGCAATTGATCTGATTCCTGTACATTCCATTTGGTGAAGTCCACCTGTACAGCTGCCATTTATGTTGTTGAAAAAAGGTATTTGCAATGACTATGTCATTGGTCTTGCAAAATTCTATCATGCAATCACTGGCATCATTTCTATTATCAAGATCTTATTTTCCAACTACTGGTAATTCTTCTTTGTTTCCAAATTTTGCATTCCAATCATCAGTAATAATCAAAACAACTTGATTGCATGTTTGTTCAATTTCAGACTGGCTGAAGTTGGTAAAAATCTTCAATTTCCTCATCTTTGGCTTTGGTGGTTGGTGCATAAATTTGAATAACAGTAGATTAACTGGTCTTTCCTGTAGGTGTATGGATATTATCCTATCACTCACAGCATTGTACTTCAGGATAGATCTTGAAATATTGTGATGATGAATGCCACACCATTCTTCTTTGTCATTCCTAGTATAGTAGACCATATGGTTGTGTGATGTAAAATGGCCAAAACCAGCCCATTTCAGCTCAATAATACGTAGGATATCAATCTTTATGTGTCCCATTTCACTTTTGACAACTTCCAGTTTTCCTAGATTTATATTTTGTACATTCTGCATTTTGATTATTAATGGATGTTTGCAGCTATTTTTTCCCATTTTGACTCATGCCACATCAGCAAATAGAGGTCCTGAAAGTTTTACTCCATTCATGTCAATAAGGTCAACTCTACTTTCAGGTAGCATAGTGCCTAAGGCACTTGACTGGTAACCAGAAGGCTGGCGGTTCAAACTCACCAGCCACTCCTCAGAAGGAAGGTTGGGCAATCTACTTCCATAGTGATACTGCCTCAGAAACCCAAAGAGGGGTCGCTATGAGTCAGATCTGACTCCACGGCACACAACAACAATAACTACTTTCAGGAGGCAACTCTTCTGCAGTCATATTTTGGAGTTTTGACCTGAGGGGCTCATTTTCTGGTACGGTATCAAATAACATTTCATGGTTATTCATAAAGTTTTCCAGTAATATATCAGACAGTGTTTCACTCTGACATAAGGTTTCCACTGGCCAATTCTTGGAGAAGTGGATAGCCCTGCCTTCTGTGATCTGGAAGTTCCGCTGAAACCTGTCAACCATGGGTGACCCTGGTGGTATTTGAAATACCTGTGGCATAGCCTCCAGCCTCACAGCAACACGTAAGCCATCACAGTATGACAAATTGACAGATGAGTGGTCTGTCATTAGAGAGATGCAAATCAAAACAACAAGATAGCATCTCACCCTAGCACTAATAGCAAAGTTCAACAAGACAGAAAATAACAAATGCTGGCGAGGATGTGGAGAGATTGGGACTCTCATACACTGCTGGTGGGATTGTAAAATGATACAACCACTGTGGAAATTGGTATGGCAATTCCTTAAAAAGTTGGAAACAGAAATACCATTTGATTCAGCAATCCCATTATGAGGTATCTATCCTAATGAAGTGAGAGCCAGGACTTGAATAGATAAATGCACACCCATGTTCATCACAGCACTATTCACAATAACAAAGAGATGGACACAACCTACGTGCCTATCAATGGAAGAATGGATAACTAAACTGTGGTACATACATACAAGGGAATACTATGCAACACTAAATAATAATGTAGAATCTCCAAAACGCTGTATAATGTGGATGAACTTGGAGAGCATTATGCTGAGTGAAATAAGTCAATCACAGAAGCACAAATTTTTATTAGTCCACTGTTGTAAAAAGTCAAGGAAAAGTTTATATGGAAGGAAACTTTCTTTGTTGGTTACCAGGGAGGAGAGGGAAGAGGAGAGGAGGCAAAGTTCCTAGATAGGTTGAAAAAAAAAAAAAAAAAAAAAATATATATATATATAGAGAGAGAGAGAGAGAGAGAGAGAGAGAGAGAGAAACCAAAGATTATTAGTGCTTACCACAGGTAGAAGTGAGGGGGAAAGCTTTTGTTTGCAGGGCATTGAGTTTATGCTAATGGGATATTTTGGAAAAGATAGCAATAATGGTGGCACAACATGAAAAATGTCATCAATGTCACTGAGCTGTAATGTGGAAATTGTTATATTGGTGAATGTCTTGTTGTGTATGTTTTCACCACAATAAAAGTAAAAAGAAAAAGTAAATAACCTTAGGGTTCCTAATGCTGCCATCAACAAATAAGTGCAACAAAATTCAATAGATAAACTGATCAGGTAGAATGTGTCTACATTTAATTGTTCCATCTATGGAATACCACTCATCTGTCAGTTTCTTGTATTACAATGGCTTGTGTGTTATTGTGAGGCTGGAGGTTATGCCATCAGTATTTCAAATACCAGCAGCTCACCCACTCTGGACAGGTTTCAGCTTCCAGATTCGAAAGAAGGAAGGGGCCATCTACTTCTCAAATAATTGGCCAGTGAAAACCTTATGAACAGCAGTAAAACATTATCTGATATATTACTGGAAAACTTTATGAATAGCCCTGAAACACTATCCAATATAGTGGCAGAAGATGAGCTCTTCAGGTTGGGAGGACACAATGGCTACAACTATAGGCTCAGGTATACCAAGAATTGTGGGGCTGGTGCAGGACTGGGCAGTGTTTTGTTCTGTTGTGCATAGGGTCACTATGAGTCAGAGCCGACTTGAAGGCACCTAACAACAGCAGCACAACATCTGTGGAATAAGCAATGTATTCCCCTGCCCCTTTGTTTGTAGACACTGGGTTTTCCATGGAGTTCCATGGAATTTTTCACTAGACTTAGATTGTCCTAGGCTTTCCATTTAATTACCTCTTAGGAATTCCATACCATCATAAGTAAATCCAATCTAGTGGTGGTGTGTTTTTTATTTACTAATAAATAACCCTGATGGTAGAAAAGAGCCAAAAATTATTCAGAAAAATTTACAACCTAACATAGAACCGCAATGGTTTTTTCTCTCTCTTCTCCTTCTGTCATTACCTACATACACCCACACCCAAAAGAAGAAACAGGAGAGCTGACTTTTCTAACTTCACAGAAAGTTACTCACCTAACAAGCTCCAAAGTTCTTGTTCCTTTTTTCTTGCCATTTCCTCCTGAACTTTACACAGCATATGTTCAATGTTCATAACCACCTCAATGAGGTCGGCCTGGGCTCCTTTAATCTCTAATTTTGCCTTTCTTGAATCGATAATCTCTGAAATGGAGACACTTGAGGTTTCCTGAAGCTGAGACAAAATGTCATGTTCCTTTTTCCCAAGGTAGAGGATGTGATTATTCTCAATGGTGTGGTGCCCCTGGAGGGTCAGCATCTTGTAGATCCACTCTTTGGCTTCACACATGTCTTCCTTGTCGGATCCCATCAGATTGATGACAGGAGCTTTGAGTCCATTTTCTCTTTTCTCCTCTCTAGAGACTGGAACAGGTATCATAAGCAACCACAGAAGACAGATTTTATAATAGTGGAGACAAAAACACCATGACTAGTGTTTACCCCAAGGCCACTATTGCAGTTGTCAACAAAAATACCCCAACTAAGGGCCTATCTCTGAGATCTACGTTAGGTACAAAGGAAATCTAAATGTATAATTTACTCTCTGTGGAAACACCGTGTTTAACTTGTAAGGGGTTGACTTTATCATGTCTTACCTCTGCTATGTTGCATTTGTCAGTTCACAGATGAGTTCAACTGTGACCTCATCCTGGATGTTAATCAACTATTATTCCCTAATGAATAGGACTTCCCTTAACCTCTTGCTACTGTCTGGGTTAAAACCAAATATCTCTGGAAGCCATAGTGTTTAAAGAGTGAAAATTCTTTAAAAAACATACTTTTTTTTTGATTATGGAATAACACAATTTATTGCTGAAAAATTGGAAAATTATCAAAGTATAATGTGAAGAAGAAATACTCATAATTCCACCACCTGAGATTCTTTCTCACATCTCATCTGTGTGGGACAGGGCATTCTGGACATCTGGCTGTTTCCACACCCCCACAATGAGCATTTGAGGCTGGGCTGCTACTGTTACTGCACATGATATATCCCAGAAGAAAAGAAAATGGGACCTGATTCCAACCCACTTACATGTACCCCCTCCATTAAAAGAAGAATAATTTATGATGGACTGGGGTGGCTCTGAACCCAAATTGGTGGGGGGAGGCACAATGGACCAACTGAGAGGAGAATTCATAAATAAGGCAATGTCTAAAATATATAGAAAATTCCCTCAAATTATTAGGAAAAAGGTAAAAAGCCAGTAGCTAGATGGGCAAAAAAAATTTACAGAAAAGGGCACACAAATAGCCCATATAAATGAAAAAAAAATATTTATCTTCACTGATAATCATGGCAATTAAAAATCACCCACCAGATTGGCAAAAATCCAGAATCTCACTATATCAAGTGTTGGGGAGGATGTAGAGCAACTGGAACTCATTATGGATATAAAATTGGAATAATCACTCTTAAAATTATATACATTAAAGAAACAGTCACACTTGTTTATCAGGAGATGTGTATACAGAAGTTCACATTCTTATTTGTAACAGCAAAAAATTGGAAACCACCCAAAATGTCTTTCAACAGTGGAATATTATTATAGCAATGAAAAGTAATGAATTTTAGTTATACAGATGAATCTCAGAAGTATATCTTGAGGGGAAAAAGTAAGCTGAGCACTTACTATCATGCAGACATTGTTCCATGTGCTTTACATGTATATTTTATTCAATCCTTCCAGCCTATAAGACAGGTACTATTAATAGCCCCATCTTACACATGAGGAAACTGACTCAGAGTTATTAAATAACTTGCCTATGATCGTTGGGCTAGTAAGTGGTGGCCATGGAGTCCCTGGGTGGTGCAAACAGTTAATGTGTATGACTGCTAACCTAAAAGCTGGAGGTTCGAGTTTACCCAGAAGTACCTTGGAAGAAAGGCCTGGTGATCTACTTCCAAAAAATGAGCCATTGAAAACCCTGTGAAGCACAGTTCTATTCTGATACACATGTGCTCACCACAAGTCAGAAATGACTTGATGTCAGTTGGTCCAAGCATACCAGGAGCTATGAAAAAAGTAGCAGGACAGATGTAGAAGTAAGAAGGGGACAATGGCCAGTGGACAAGTGTTCTTAAATTGAAGGAATATTTTGTTCTGTTTAGGAGCTTATGCTACTTTTTAGGAAAAAATAGAAATAATAAATGGTAATACTTCATTTATCCATAATTAGCAAGATAGGTGAACTGTTCTAGACAACTATTGTTCAGTCACTAAAGTGTGCCCTTCTAACACCAAAATATATTTGATTTTAACTATTAAAAACAAAAACCAACTCACTGCCATTGAGTCAGATCCCACTCACAGTGACCCCTCCTTGGGTTTCCGAGGCAGTATCTCTATGAAAGTACATCACCTAATCTTCCTTCTGAGGAGTGGCTGGTGGGTTTGAACCACCAGCCTTCTGGTTAGCAGTCAAATGCCTCAGGCACTACGGCACTATAAGTTAAATGCAAAGGAGCCCTGGTTGCACAATGGTTAAGTTCTCAACTATTTAGCAGTTAGCACCTAGTTAGCACCTAGCAGCTCACAGGGGAGAAGACCTGGTGATGTGCTCCTGTAAAGATTACAGCCTAGAAAACCCTATGCGGCAGTTCCAGTTTGTCACATAGAGTCACTGTGAGTTGTAATCTTGTAATCAACTTGATGACACACGATAACATTCAATATCTCTAATGGAATCACACTTTCCTGCAGTTTCTGTCCCTTGATAATCTGAGATGATCATTGTTAATGCCCATGGTTATCTGTGCTATCATTCCCTGAGATATCCTTAAGAGTTCGTGAAGTAAATGGTGCACGTGCCCACATTATTTAGATTAATGAAATACAGACATCTATATGCTCCTTTCCTCTCAGCCTCACCTGAAACTCCATTTATGTAGCTAGCCTGGACCATTCTTTATGGTCCCCAAAATACACACGGCACTGGTTTGTTCCTGTGAGCTTTCTTCATCTTGGGTACCCAATCCCACTAACTCTGGTCATTGAAAATCTTGCCACTGTCAAGTGTAGAACCATCTCATCCATGAAACCATTGTTGAATCTTTCCAGTCAAGAGGAATCCCCTCTCCTCTGGGACACTTGGGGAGTTTGTTCATTTTCTCATTTATTATTATCCCCTAGCATTTGCTTAATACTTTGCAATTTCCAGAAAACTTTTGCAAAGAAAGTCTTCAATGATCTTCCAGTAGTCTTTTACGATCATTTTACTGTGCCTCAAAAGAGGCACAATTACCGACTAGAACTCTTAAAGCTCCCCCTTCTTCACTTCCAGCGCTGCTTGACACCTGAACATCCATGGATGAATGCTTCCATTAAAAAGCAGATGCAAATCATTTTGACCCTAATGGGAAATGTCCTGACAATTTCTATTGCCATTTAAATGCTTAGTGTTCTTAACAGGCATGGAATATTGTAAATTAAAAGACTATTTCAGAAGTTCATATCCTAGAGGTCATGAAGCAATTTCATCTCAATACATTCAAACTTCACTAAAGAAAGGGAGTTACGAGGCAAAGTTAATCCTTTGCCAGCCTCCAACAGCCAGGATGGACTTAAACCAGTAATTCTCAAACCTGACAAAACAGGAAAACTGCCTGAGAGCATACAAACATATCCAGTACATGCTTGGCCTATGCCCAGAGTTCCTGAATCAGAATTTCTAGAGTTTGGGGCTATATATATATTTGTTTGTTTTGTTTTTAAAGTTTCCTTCATGATTCCAATAAGTCAGGTTTGGGAAGATTAGGTTAACCCATTTATGTGAAATGTGTTTTCTGTAATTATTAATAAGTAACCCAATTTATATGTTCATAGCGGAAAGAGCCAAACTTTTTCTTGGAAGAAACTTACAGGCATCTCTTAATCTTATTTGTCAGTGAAGTACATGGTCTGTGGATTACCTACTGCAACTTAGCCTTTCTACTCATATCATGAAACTGGACTGAGAAAGAACAGTCACAGTCAGGTATGGAGCAGGCTGGTATCTGAACAGGCACACAATTATATACATTTGGCTTATTTATTCTTCTTTTCCTCTCCTCTCCATTAGTTCAGATGACCAAGAGTAGACTCTTGATGTGAGACTTTATTTCTAGGCCAGTGAATTTCTTACTCACCATTGTAGTTGTTGAAACCCGACAACATGGACTTACTCTTTGCCATTTCAGCACTGACTCCCTACAAGAAGCAAAACAATGGAGAGTCATATGTGGAGCTTATAGATCCTTGTTATCAGTATCCCTCTCTCTACCTGCACACCCACACCTGACCTCATGCCCTCTGTTGGTCACCATTCTCCCTGTCATAAAGCAGCTTTATGGTTTGAACTGGGTCCCCCCCCAAATGTAACTGTTGTAAATCCTAACCTCTATGCCTGTGATTGTAATTCCATTTGGGAATGGGTTGTCTTTGTCATGTTAATAAGGTAGAATTAATGTAGGGTGGTTGAGTTAATCTTTCACAAAATGAAAAGGAGATAATTAGGACAAGCAAGAAAGCAGAGCAGAGGGAAGAGAAACAGCCAAGAGATACCAAGACACATGGAGATCTCCATGGAACCTGGAAGCTAAAGCTGAAAGGACAAGGTCCTTTCTCCAGAGCTGACAGAAAGAGAAAGCCTTCCCCTAGAGCTAGTATCCTGAATTTGGATTTCTAGCCTCCTAAACTGTAAGAAAATAAATTTCTGTTAAAGACACCCACTTGTAGTATTTCTGTAATAGCAGCACCAGATAACAAACACAGATTTTGGTACCAGAAGAGTAGGGTGCTGCTCTAGTAGAGACCTAATATGTGGAAGCAGTTTTGGAATTGGGTAGAGGCTGGAAGAGTTTTAAGATGCCTAATAGTAAAAGCCTGGATTACCTTGAAGAGACCTTTGGTAGAATTATGGACGTCAAAGGCAATTCTGGTGAGGGCTTACAAGGAAGTAAGAGCTACAGAGAAAGTCTCTATTGTCTTAAGAGAATACATATGGTGCCAGTAACAGAAATGTTGCTAGAAATGTGCTGCTGGTGAGTGAAGAAATCAAAGACACACAGAAGTTAGTCCAAGGGGCTAGTGGACCATAAGAACCTCAGCTTACCGGACCCTGAGACCAGAAGAACTAGAAGGTGCCTGGCTACCACTGTCAACCACTAGGAAAGGGATCAAAATTGGAGTTCCTGGATAGAGTGGGAGAAAACAGTGGAATAAAACTCATAATCATAAAAAAGACCAGCCTTACTGGTCTGATAGAGACTGGTAAAACCCCCAAGACTATGGCCCCTAGTCATTCTTCAGGCCTGGAATTGAACTCACTCCCTTGGGTTAAATTCCACCCAAACAATAGGCAGGCCTTCAAGGTGAACAATTACACCAAGCAGGTACACAATCAACTACGGGAGATTAGAAGGGCAGCATTTGCACAGGGAGATAGCTCAGAGAGCAGGAAAACGTAACCACAGGGAGGAAATAGGAAGACAGCTGTTACATTGTGGGGATTATAAGCAATGTCATGAAACAAAATGTGTATGAACTGTTGTATGGAAAATGAATTTGCTCTGTAAACTTTCACTCAAATTGTAATTTAAAAAAAAATCAACTGCAATATAAAAACAGAAATTAATTTGTAAAAGTCTGTTGTACAACCTAAGAATTCTAGGATTTCCTAGAATGCTCAAGAAGGATGTGGCTACAGAGTTTTTGTTAGAGAGGTTAAGCCTGTAACTGATGGATCTAAGCAAATACCCAGCAGAAATTCAGGGCTTCCAACTGGTTAGTGTGGTTTGAACCTCAGAATTTGCACTTCCACTGGACATATTGAATCAGAATCCACATTTTAATAAGATCACCAGGTGATTGATTCTTACATATAATAAATGTTGAAAACCATTGCTATACTAGAGGTTCTCAGAATTGGTTCCTAACCAGCACCATAAGCACTTCCGGAGAACTTACTAAAAATGCTAATTCTCAGCAGGGGTTTGAACTGGAATGACCCAATTCAAAGCCCTGCAGAAAATCCATTAGTTTAGACTGAAGAGGGCAGAGAAAGAACAAAAGGAAAGACTGCTGTCTGCCTTGTGGAATTCTACAGGCAGGAAATAGGCCAAAGGAGTTAACCTGTTGTCTCCTAAGGAAAGAAAAGGACCATTCTTGGGGCAGCTTGGAATTGGTACAATTGACTGTAATAACATCATTGAAAATATAGGACAAAGACTAGATTATGCTTTGCATCTGAACTTTAACAATGAAGTTTCCTAATCTTAGGACATTTTCTTCATAAATTCCACTTGCAGCTGTTACTTCCAGAGCAAAAAGTTCTCAATTTTACCATATGCAGTACCTGGTAAGTCACAATAAGGAGTTCTGGTGGGGCAGTGTGTCTGCTAACCAGAAGGTCTGTGGTTCAAATCCACCAGCTGTTTTGCAGAAGGAAGATGGGATAATCTACTTCTGTAAAGATATACCGCCTTGGAAATCCAATAGGGGTCACTATGAGTTTGGTTTTCTTTTTTGGGGGGGAGGGGCAGTAGGTCACAGTAGGGCGCTCTCCTGCCTTTCCCCTCCAAGAACTTGTAAATAAAACAAATTAAGTGATGTTGTAGTTAGGTACCCTAGAGTTGACTGTGGATGAAAAAAAAAAAAAAAACCACAACCAAACCCACTCCATAGAACTGGTTCTGACTCCTAGTGACCCTATAGGACAGAGTAGGACAGACCTGTAGGGTTTCCAAGGCTGTAACTCATTACAGAAGCAGACTGCCTCATCTTTCTCCCATGGGCCAGCTGGTTAAGTTTGAACCACCAGCCTTCTGGTTAGCAGCCAAATGCTTTAACAACTGTGCCACCAGTGGATAAATAGCTGCCCTGTGCAAAGGATAAAAACAAGCTCTCTCCAGAAGTCACTTTAAAAGTCAGGGTATGTTGCAGGGTTAGAAATGAGTAGGCAAGGCTTTTGAATTGGATGAGAAAGAAAGCAAAACTTAATTCAGTAAGGATAATATAGAAGAAAGAATGTGTGGATAAAAAGCAGATGGTCTACATGGAGTATGGAAAAGTAGACCCAAATAGCAAGAATTTGGAAGTGTTTTTCCAGGTTCTGACCAGAAGTCAGCAACAACTTGTTTGAGAGATGTCAGTAGTGTATTTCTACAAAGCTATTCCCTATTCTGAGACACCAAGACTGGCAAAGGTATATATACAATAAATACTTGTTAATAACCAAACAAATGACTGTGCATCACACTTTAAAGACCCTCAGTCCTTATCTTCATGAAATACTGGTGAACATAATATTTCAGTCAATTACTCACTATAAATTCATGAATTGGGAAGGATGAACATGTGAATATACACAGCACTTTACTATGAGTTTGGTGTAGTCAGTCTTCCTGAGTCAGGTCACCTCTGGATGTCTGTGAAATCTATTTTCTGGAATGTAGGGGGTTAAAGATTGAATTGTGTCCCTCCCTTGCCAAAAAAAAATATATATATGTTAATTTCTAACCTCCATGCATGTGATTAAAGGAGCTCTGGTGGTATACCATTAAAGCATTTGGCTGATAACCAAAATGTTGGTGGTTTGAACCCACCAGCTGCTCCATGGAAGAAGGATGGGGCAGTCAGCTTCCATAAAAATTTACAGCCTTAGAAACCCCATGGGAATCGGGGTATGAGTTAGAATTGACTCAATGGCAGGGAGTTGGTTCTTTCTGGTATGCATGTGGTTAGGAGGGAAAAATCTCTGGAGAACATCATGTTTGGTAGAAGGTCAGAGAAAAAGAGGAAGACCCTTAAGGAGATAGATTAACACAGTGGCTACAACAATGGGCTCAAACATGTGAGGGTGGTGCAGACCAGGCAGTGTTTTGTTCTGTTGCACACAGGGGCTCTATGATACAGAACTAACTCAATGGCACCTAACAACAACAACATATGTACCAAACACAGTTCTAAGCACTTTATGTGTCTTGTTTCTGTCAGTCTCGCAATAGACCTAACACATTAAGTGCTATTATTATCCTCATTTTACAGGTGAGGAAATTGAGGACCAAAAGATTGTCTTTGTTTAAGATCATCCAGTTAGTAAATGGCAGAGCTAGGATTCAACTCTGAGTTGGTCTGACTCTGACGCCCATACAATTAACCTTTTCAAGATGTTTTCTACAAGTGTTGCAAATAGAATAAACTCAAAAAGTACTTAATAAGTAACTAACAGGTGGCATTGCTAGAGAATGGAAACAGACGTATTCTGCAGTTCAATGTGGTCTGTGGTAGTTATATTTGTGTGTCAACTTGGCTGGGCCTGGTTGAGTGGCTGGGCAGCTGGTGGTAGTTATTCCCCATGATGAGACTGGCAATCAACTCCATGGTGGGAT